AAACTTGAATGTTTTAGTCACATGCTTAAACAAAATTATTAATAAATAATAACAATAACGTTTCACTTGTTACATATTGGATACGGGAAATCCGTTTTTTATAATTGTTACTAAATTCTTATTTTTTTTTTTTTTTTTAAATGATGTTACCGAACGAATGCTTTTTCGAGATATTTAATAATTTCCGGACTGATTATAGAAGTTTATTTTCATGCCTTCTTGTAAACCGTCGATGGTGTAGAATTATTGTACCAATATTATGGAGCGAACCAATAGATTACTTCAACGATAGAAGACTTATAAGAATGTATCTTTTAGCATTAAATGTCGAAGAACAAGCTTTATTGGTCCCTTTTAAAATTATTCTTCCAAATTGCCCAAGACCATTATTTGAGTACGCAAGTTATACTACATCTGTTGGCTTTGATTTGAACGATGGCATCATAAATTGGCTTAACTATGAAGGATATGATGCGGATATATCTCGAGATTCAATTATTATTGATTATCATAAAAGAGACTATGAAGAGGCAGTAGATGCCATTAAATGTTCATTGATTGCGATGTTTCTACGAACAAGCAAAAGATTAAAGTATTTAACACTTGCCGGTACTATTAACAAAATAATATTTCAAAGTCTTCATATAAACACCACTATTATGTATTTAAATCTTTGGTGGAATTATTTTGATTCTGAGGGTATGGAAACGTTAGTGAAGATTATTAGCACAAACACTACTTTGACTTCTTTAAATCTTTCTTATAACCTTCTTGGTTCCGAGGGAGGGAAAGTACTAGCAAAAGTTCTTTACAAGAATACTACTCTGGCTTCTTTAAATATTTGTGAAAGTCATTGCGGCCCTGAGGGAGGAAAAGCATTAGCTAAGGCACTTTGTAAAAACTCTACTTTAACTTCTTTAAATATTTGTGGTAATCAACTTGGACCTAAAGGTACAGAAGCATTAGCAGAAGCTCTTCGCATAAACACTGCTTTAACTTCCTTAAATATTTCTTATAATGAGCCTAAATATGAAGGAATAAAAGCATTAGCAGAAACACTTTGTAAAAACATTACTTTGACTTCATTAGATATTAGTAATAATAAGATTGGTTTTAAAGGAATAAAAATATTAGCAGATTCACTTCGTAAAAATGTCGCTTTGACTCATTTAAATCTTTCTTATAATCGACTTGGTTCTGAGGAAGGGAAAGTGCTAGCAGAAGCACTTTGTATAAATACTACACTGAATTCTCTAAATATTTATAACAATCAACTTGGTTCTGAAGGAGTAAAAGCAATTGCAGAAGCACTTTGTAAAAATGTCACACTGGCTTCTTTAGATATTAGCAGAAATAAGATTGGTTTCGAAGGAGGAAAAGCATTAGCAGAGGCACTTTGTAACAATATCGCTTTGATTTCTTTAAGTATTAGCAATAATAAGATTGGTTTTGAAGGAGGAAATGCATTAGCAAAAGCGCTTTATGTAAATACTACTCTAACTTCTTTAAATATTTCTTATAATGATCTTAATTTTGAAGTTGGAAAAGCCTTAGCTGAGGCTCTTTGCAAGAATATTACATTAATTTCCTTAAATCTTTACGGAAATCAATTTAATTACGAAAACATGAGTATATTAAAAAAAATCTTTTATGCAAATACATCACTCACATATTTCTATTATTAGAATAATTAACTGTAATCTTTTTTAGAAACTTTCAAATAATAAATAATGGTTTATATATGTGCTGTCAGTATATAATTTTTTTTTTTTTCTAACCAAAATAAAAAACAGTTTCAAAATTCACATGAACACGTTATTCATGTGAAAGATAATTAAATAGAATATTAAGTTAGCGATAGCAATAGTGCTGTATAATTTTGCTATTTATTAACAAGATGTTATTCTTTAATGATCTCTTTATAAACGAATGTCATCAGAAATGTTTCTTTGATAAATGTCACCACTATTTAATTAATACAATTAATACAATTAATACAATGTCTAATTATAATCGATATCCGAGTTACCCTATCTAATTTGAGAGACACTATAATATTCAATTCAATCCAGGGTTACGAGTGAAGTTAATTGCGCGACATTTTCTCAACTCATAACAATACTTAGGGGTAAGTTAGTAGAAACACATCAAATACCGTATCCGACGGGCAAAACCAACCCCCTGTATAAAATAATAACCTAGATATTATATAATATTAGTAGTAACTTATTGTTATCAATACAATTAACGTAATGTTAAAATTTGCACCAATATAATTATAATGTTAAATGCTAAGTATAAAATTCTAAAATTCTACGGGGGATGGTTTGGCCGCAAAAATACCGTTCCTGATAGGGTTTTAAAAACGAACCCTAATCAACTTTTTCATATACTTCGCTATAGTAACATACAATACGTATTATTTTAGAGGCCCTGTTTTAGGACCCTATCAGGAATGGATATTTGTTTCTTACTCTATCAAAGAATAGTGTCGACAATCCATCAGGAACGGTATTTTTGTCGGATACGGTATTTTCTATGTAAATTTATTTAAAATTTGATCAAAAATAATCAAACTATTGCTCAATCAAAATATTTTTTAAGTCAATTTTATAAATTTATTTAAAAAAATTTCTTAATGGAACGTCCATTAAATGGCTGTAGGTTTTATAGAGAAAAATGGAAAAGTTGGCTCACAACTTTGTATTCTCCTAGGCAGACATATTCGGTTGTAAGTCATCATATGCAATAATGGGATCTTTTTTGCGCCCAAATATTTAAAAAATAATTTGTTTGACATTCGTGGTGGTTTATATATTCCAAGATGATACAATTGAATTTATACATAGTAAATTTTTATTTTTTTTTTTTTGAAAATGCAACCGTCGTTCATAATATTTCAGAAGACTCTTTACAAACAGCACTTCAAGTATCTTGGGATTCCTTTCACTTAGGTATACTTTATAGTTGTTATCCGAAACCCGAAACTATATATAAAATCCCGAAACCGAAACCCGAAACCGAAACCGAAACCCTTTCCGAAACTCTAACACTACTGAAAGGCTTAGAAATTTAATTTTAAACGTTAAGACTTAAAGTATATTATAATTAGATTGCATTTCAGGAAAATTTTGATTACTTTATAGTAAATGTGCATTAATTATTAACATTCCAATTTTAAAGTTTCGGAAAGGTTTCGGGTAACAAGTATAGTATACTTTACTTAGAGACACTTTTTTAAATTAGGAAAATAGTAATGTTTAATGAATATAAACGTTAAAGTTCCTAATTAATTTACAAAAAGTGTAATTAACTATATAGTTTGAAAAAAAGCTTTTAAGTAGTAATAACTTTGTAATAATATTAAGTAAAATAGATTACAGATACTCGAAGTTTTACATAGATATGAATAAACGTTTTAGTATTATTTAATTTAAAAATGAAAAAAACTTACATTTATTCTTTTTTTGTTTAAGTAAATATATAGATAGGTTCTACTTTATTCACTTATGGTCTACATCTAAGATAGCTTATATATTATCGTGTATTACAAAGGATTATTACTCTCGTTTGATGATTTATTATAATTTTAATTTTATAAAACGATGGATGTATACGTATACGATTTTCCTGTCTAAATTAAAATAATATTAAATCGGTTTAATCTATTCCCAATAACTATTCCTAATATTGAGTTGTGTAATATATTCAAAGTTCTTACATAGAACGTATTAATATAGGATTTTTGATTGGCCAGTTATCATGTGATTAGTAAAGTGACCAATCATACTAAGTATTTCAATTTTATGTGATTGACTATACAAAAATGTAGCCTATGTCATTATTAAAACTCTGGGGATTTATTTTTATCTATTATTTTACTTGGAATGACAACGTACATAGCCGATTCATATCCGTGTTCAGTTTCTTGGACTTGTATTTAAGTAAGATCTTCTTCGTTTACTACGAGACAAGTCGTCAATGAATAATTTCTTTTGTTCGTTAATTTTTTTAATAAATTTTAATAGATTATTGCTACGAATAGCTTTATTGCTGATAATTCATGAGATGAATGTCATCATGTGATAAATTTATAACGTCACTATATTTATACTAAGTTCGTTCATTCATGGTGCTTTGTCATATGTGATTATTAGTCAAAATCAAAAGATTCGGCATGCTGAATGATGTCATTCGACATGCTATTCAACATTGCTGTTGACCAACAATCGACAAACTAGAGATGCAGACATTTCTCGGGTTAAGTAGCTATCCCCTTGTGGCATATAAAAATCGGGTAGCTGCCTACTTACGGATATGCCGTATGTTATTTCATGTTCTAGTGTCTGCATCTTTATCAACAAATATTCGATATGTTTGGTCGATTGGCGTGTTGATGGCAATATGTCGATTTTTTTGATTTTCAGTGTCTACGCGAGAATATATTTATCAAAGCATCGGGTATTCACTCATTTGAAAAAATTTCTTTAGAAGATATTTACTAAATTTTATTTCTACAAAATCGGCTAGTGAAGCTTGTTGTACTGTTTAATATTGTACATATTTTGTTGACCTTTTAAAAGGATAACGATAAGCCAAATCCCTTTTAAAATGGCAATGATTATCGGTTTTCAATTTGATGGTCATTATGTAGTTAATTACATGTTATCAAAACGACTAGAACGATCGTTATAATGTGCTTTAATTATGTATATTATAACAACATCAGAAACTAAATCCGACGAAGTGAACCCCCAAAAAACAGATTTACGGGGTTTTCTTTGGTTTCATTCCTACAATCACCAAGTTGAAAAATAAAATTTGTTTATTATAAGAAGTTGTGACTATATGAATATTAAAGTTTGTTTTATAATAATGAAGCTAAAAATAATGCAACCGTAGCGAAGTTGTAACTATATCAGGTGTGACTTAAATAAAATCTAGCTATGAATATAATTTATAGAATTAATATAATCTAGTTATACAAACTATTCAATTTATTATTCTTTCATACCAAACTTTTCTTCTTGATCAAACATCCACTCTACAGCTTGTAAAATATTATCAGCTACATATTTTGCTGGATTTAATAGATGGTTGTCTCCTTTAAATACACCAGTTCTTACTAGAATTGAGGTCCAACCATATCTATTAGCACCTGCTATATCTATTTTTTTTTTTTTAACAAAAAGAAATGTTAGTAATAACCTAAAATGAATAAATAAAGCAAATAAAATTGTCTAGCACAAGTTGAAAAGTATGAGTTTATAATTAATAAGTAGATATTGATAAATGTTTTCTGTTTTTTGGTATGCATATATTGTAAGAAAATAAAATACTGTAGAGCATTAGCAGATAATATCTTGATTGAAATTCTAATAAAGATCACAAAATAATTACAGTCTAATTTTATTAATACATATTTTCTTGCAAAATGGCATCTACCTGTTACTTCTCAAAACATTGCCAATATCTTTTAAATTATAAATTATAAAATGCATACCTGAAGCGGGATTATCTCCAACAGCTGTATATAGATAGATATATAAAAATATTTTTAGTTCTTATACTCAAAATTCTAACCAAAATCCACATCGCTCTTCAAAAAGCCTACCATAAATTCTTCTATTGGGTAATTTTTGTCCAGTGATTTCAAATGAATAATCTTCCAACAGCTTATGTGCATATTTATAAGTTACCGTCTCAGGTTTCCCAAACAATGTGTACTTGAGTTGTAATCCTGTTTCTTTCTTTTGAAATAAAGACTTTGTAAATTTAATTATGCTACGCTCAAATAAGTAGTAAAACAAGATTATTGTTTAAAACTCCATTCGTGTGACTTTTGACCAATAAGAATATCAGTCGATTTATATAAACCAATCAAACTACAATACAGTCACATGATATATGAGCGTTCTAGTTCCTAAAAATCCCGAAATAATCGGCAAGGATCACTAATAATAAGCTTCTCAACAAACCTCATACAAATGTTCTAAACACAACCTAAAAGAGCCTTGAGCCATTCTTGGGACTATACAATCATTTGACCAAATCTACAAACAAATGAATCCACATTTTAATCGTAAACTACATATTAAGTTACAACCCTTTCTAATAGTTCAATTTTATAAGACTTACAATATCAGGATTAGAAAAAAATAAGGGAAAGTTACGCGTTGAAAGTTCTTGAGGACTGGCAAGAGTTTCTAAATAACCATCTTTACTTCGTAGGACGTCTAATATTATTTGTAAATCTCTACCCCCTATTTGCCAAACGAAACTTTAACATATATTAAACAAAACAACAATGTAGAACATAAAAATGAAGCACCTACAGTCACGACTATCGTGAAACATCATGATAGCTTCAATTTTAATATTGGAAAAATCCAATTTCTTTTAAAATTCTTTCATTAGTGTTTAATATAATTATTAAGAATAATGATTGTTAAGAGAAATACCTTTGTAAGTTTCAAATCATCTTCACTAAGCTTGGTAAATGGCCAAATACATGGTTTCCAGGCTAATACATCATTTGGAATTATAATCCGGTTAAAACCATAACTATCAAGAAAAAGAATATAATTTATTATCTTCTTCAATTATAAAATTATTATCATCATTATTATTAAAATTTAAGAACCTTTCAGCAACAATTCTGCAATTATCACCCACTCCACCAATCACCAATACATCAGAGTCTTTAAACATAGGTACAAGTTGATGCATCGGGGAATGAGCTAGTGTTAATTGTGACGGTTTAATCTAAATAACAATTATGTTAAGAAGTTATCTTAGGTTTGATAAATGCGATGAATTAAAAAGTTACATAACTGGAAATCCTAATTTCTCACTCAATTCCTCTGCTTTTTTTGTTTCTGTCACACCACCGCCGTTAGTTAATAAGATAAAAGGAATCTTTCTTTGAATAAAAACGGTTAAAAAAACATATAAATTTCAATTAAGAAAGCTTAATGTAAATATAAATTCACTTTTTTAATTTATTTTCGCCGTTCAAAAATCGAAGTGCACTTTTGGTTTCAGGTACAACCTTTGTTCCCTTTTCCACAGAATCACAAGAATTAGTTTGTCAATCATGATGGTTAATTCGAAAAGAATATATATATATATTTTTTGAGAATTGGTACTTTTATAAGAACACCATCGATATCTATACAGATTCCATAATGACATGGTGAAGAAGAGTAATACCGACGTTCTCCAGCAGCATTAATAATGAATTTTTTAAGTAATGGTCTTGATGTGCATAAATGATTGAATAAACGAATCATTTTTTAAACATCTAAGTGTCAATTTATCGGTCAGAAAATTATAAAAGATTAGCTGTCGTTAAAAAAATTTAAAAAAAACGGTTATATCGATACGAGCATGCAGTGTTCAACGTTAATTTATAGAAGATCGATCACTGGTATATCTATTTATTAACGTGACCTTCACGAGCCTAGAATTTTGCACGAGCCGGTAATACAATCTCGGCTTACTTTCATCAACATTGTTGATCTTTCTGAATCAGGTTATTTATTAATTCCCAATTTTAGATGTACTATTAAAAGATAAAACACATAATAATATACATGTTTTGGAGTAAAATTTAACAATAAGAAAGATTGCAAATAAGACGCAGCCAGGGCGGCCCCTAAGTGCGGGTCACGGGTTATCGCCGCCACATTTAAATGTCAAATGACATAGATGAAATCTATGTCATTTGACATTTAAATGTGGCGTGACCCGCACTTAGGGGGCCGCCCTGGCTGCGTCTAGCGAACAAAGAGTCGATAGGTCAGAATGGACATTGATTGGTCAATTTGGTGACATATAAAATATCATACATGAAGATAAATCCAATAAATGTGAAGTTGTAGTATAGTATAAAAAAATTTTTTTGCCAATTCAAGTTTTGGATTGTTTTTTCTAAAATACAAGTTTTTAGTATTAGATAAATTAATTAGATAAAGACAAAGTAAAGATTGTTTTATTATTTTTTTTCTTGATAGTAACTATTTTTATATTTTTTTCTATATATATATTTTGGTTTAAACTATTTAAGTGGGATACCACCATGTAATATAATTATATTACATGATGGTATCTCACTTGCTCTAGATTATATTATCGTCATATAATCTGGATACCATCATATGATCTAAATACGTACCACTATATAATCCGGGTACTACTATCTAATCTAAATACTATTATATAATCTGAGTATTACTATATGATCTAAACAATATAATCTATATAATCTAAATAATATAAATCTAATTACTGCTATATTATCTATTTATTTTGCATATTAGGTATTTTTTTATACTCTAGTTATTCTTTTAAATTTTTCTTGCTATTTGTATTTTTTATTATCATATAATCTAACTACCATCTACCATTTAATCTAACTATTACTATATAATCTAAATACCACACTTTTCTTCTTGTTTTTGAGTTATTTATATGCTAAATTCTATAATTGAGTTGTTGGTTCTTTGTAACTGTTTGAATATTCGGTTTTATATTGAGAATGCTAATCTCTTGCACCTGGTTAGATGCTGGATTATATATTAAAATACTTATTTTTTGCACCTATTGGATTGCCTTTCTAGATACTAAAATTTGATAAAAAAAATATATAGTGTTAGATAGTGCAGTAAATTGCAGATCTGATTTTGGCTAATACTATAACATAATTCAGACTGATCTTTAGAGTATGTAATTTGAAAGATTCAAACTAATATTATAACAGTGACTTGGTAGTATACTAAAGCTGTCATAGAACTAGCAAAGAACCTAAGTGTTTTTATTAGTTTGCAAGTTTCAGACCAGTTTGAATGCTAAGTTATTATGTTCAAAAATCTAATCAAAATTGTAAAATAATGCTGGCTGATTTTATACTGCACCTTACTGTATTAGTTATGTAATTTGTTTTGATACTAAATACTCTTTTATAATATGAACTAATAATAGAAACTTGTTTAAAACATTTTTAAAACCTACAAAAAAATTATAGTTATGCTTTTCTCAAAACTAGTAAAGAAGATTTTAAATAATATAGTCTTGAAGCTGGTTCTGTTATAACAGAGTAACAAATCTTATTAAATAGTTTACACAATATCATTAATTTTACTTTTTGATTATCTATTTGTCATCAAAAGTAAAAGCTAAGGTATTATGCTTCTTAGAAGTGTAATAAGCATTATTATAATTGGTTTATTTGTTTGCTAAAAGTGTACATCTTGCAAACAAAACAACTATTGCCTATTTGTTGCTAATATATATATGCTAATTTCACATCTAATATTAGAAGTATAATATGTGTTATTATAACTAACTTATTTAATTGTTAATATTTTATATAAAGATTATACAAAAAACTTATTATATATATATATTATATATGTCTAAATACATACTATTAAGATAAAACATTTTTTAATTTTTTTATATAATAATTTTGAAGAAGGCTTCACTTTCAGATATATGTTTTCTTTTCTTTTATTTATAATTTATTGACTAAGTTTGTTATTAGCTTTTTATTGTATTCATCAAGATATAGCTTTTATAATACATTCAAATACATACTAGTAATAGAGTAGTCTTTTTTTATAATTTTATATAATATTTCTGAAAAAGACTACTCTAAATATTATTTATTAAAAATATATTTACTTATATTTCTGAAATGTCTCAAGAAGAATCAAATAACTTTAGAATTACTTTTTGATATATTTTTATTTTATACAAAGTTTCTATTATATCCAAGTATATGTCTAGAAAAGTGTAGTCTTTTGCTAATTTTTATATAACAGATTATGCAGAAAGCTATATTATATTTAAATACATAGGAAAGAGTCAATAGAAAAGAGACAATCATTTTTAGTGAAATTTTTTTAATTTTTAAATTTAAATAACTCAACAACTATTTAATTAAATCTGCTAAAAAATTTTTTAAAATTATATAGAATTAAAATAAATAAAAAATTATCAAATTTAATAAAATAGTTGTTGAAATATTTAAGCTTAAAGTCAAAAAAACTTTTACTTAGAAACAATTTGTTCCTTTTCTATTAACTTTTTCTTATATACTTAGAAAAATGTAATTTTTTTTCAAATTTTATATAATAGATTATAAAGAAGACTACACTTTTTTAGATATATCTACTTGTCTTTTATTTTCAATTTGCTTATTAGCTTGCTATATGTCTTATTTTTTAAAAAACAAAAAAAATTAATTAAATATTTTAAAATTATATTGTAATATAATAACTTATCTACTATAATTATATATACTCTAATTATTTTTATCAAACTAATTATATCAGCCCTCTTACCTGCTATAATAGCACTAAGTTTTTAGCTAGCATTCTATTACATAATAAGATCATAGCAGAATATAATAACAGAATAATTGCTATACTTCAACAAAGCCTATTCGATAAGCAACTTATATATTTTATGCTTACTAAAGTTTAATAATACCAAATATATAAATAAGATCTTTATTTATATTTTATATATTAGTAATTGCTTAATTAATAGACAAAAGGCAGTTGTAAATATTATAGATATCCAATTTTTCTTTGATATCAAAGTTCTTGAAAAGATATTATTATCTATATTTATGATCAAATTAGTAAGGATACTATCTAATATTCTTAATAGTACATCAAAGTTTAAGATTGAGACTATTAAAACTTATCTATTTCAAGAATATTATACAGAAAAAAAACCATATATCTATATAAAAACATGGAATTATTATAACTAATATAATATATTAAAAGCAGTTTATGCTATTGAAATGTGTACAGTTTAGATAATCTAAACTGCTAGTATTATTATTATAAAGTAGTCTATAAAGAAAAATCATCTCTTTTGAATTAGGCAACATTAAGTAATTATTTATATATACTGTTAAAAAATTTATATTTTTTTTGAGCATCTGTAGGTAATTACAATCTAATAAGTAATAACAAATACAACAATTTACTAATTTCTTTAGCACTTATAAAGAATTGAAATTTGGTTCTTATATAAAATATAGAAACATATAGTTTGCTTAGTTTAAATAAATTTCCTACTGCACAAAATAATGAATCTAATGTTTTTATAATTTGCATATTAGTTTATTGAAAAAATAACCCTAATTCACTAAAACAAATTTGTCTTGTCAATGTTGAAACTGCTTCAGATTCTTGCTAAATTACAATTATATGCAAATTCCAAACCAATTTACTAAAAGCATTTACTTTATATTAGAAACTTTTAGCTCCAAACATACAAATAAGTTTTAATGATTTATAATATGATTAGAGATTTATTGTAAAGAAAGTGTAAAAGCTAGAAGTTCTCAAATAAATGTACAATTAAATGTTATTAAAGCTTTCAAGTCTTAAAAAAAAATTAAAATAGCAATATCAATATAATGCAATAAAGGTTAATAATAGGAATTTTTATTTAAAACATCTTAAAATCTTTAGGTACATAGTTATTAATGTCTGATCATGTTTTATAAAATTATATTCTAAGGCTAAAAAAAGTAGTTTAGCATATTACCTAAAAGAGTATGAACTTAATAACAAGCTGAATATATCTTTTTATCATATATTTAAGTATTATAAAAAGACATTAAAAGAAACCAATACTACAATGACCAAGCAGATGTTTAAAGTAGCTGAATATTGTATTATTAATACTATTAGCTGTTAGCATTTAATAGTAAAGTGTAATGCAATTAATAATTACAGAAAGGTGGCATCTGTAGCCTTTATATTATTATATAATTTATATTATTTGCAATCATTAGCAAAATTTATATAGAAATATATATCAATTATTTTTATTTTTTTTATTTTAGATATTAAGATGAATAATTGTAACTTAGAAGTTTATTGATAATTAGTTAGCATATAACTATTGTATACAATAGCTACAGAGGCAATCATGAAAAGAGTGTACAACTAGCTATTCATACAACTTTAGTTATTGTCTATTTTAAATAGTTTGCTTAAAGGTTTTACACTAGTTGTTATACCTAGAACTCATATGTGAGTTCTCTATTTAAATACTCTAGTTTCTGTATTTACTTCTACTCTATCAATTGCAATATTAATTTGCAAATATACCATGATCACTAAGTTATATTTAACTTTATATTAAGTTTATCAGAGCCTTCTGTATTCCATACTTATAGCTAACCTAGTACTGCTCTGACCTAAACTATCACTTGCAGTCAAGGCTAATTATTAAACTGCTATACCTTTGTAAAGTTTACTAG